TAGTCTGAAAATCTGGGGTGCTCCACATGACTATCTTTTCCCTCGTAAATCCAAAACTTATAAGTATAACCTGTTGTCCTCTCACAGATCTTCTACATCTTGACCCCATATCTGGCACGCTTGCTGAGGAGAAATTGTTTGAATGCAAGGTGGCCAGAAAAATTAACGAGGGACTCATCAACGCAAATGTTGTGCGAGAGGCTGAATTTTGTGGAGCCGGTCAAATTCAGGGTCATCCCGAGGATGACAGAGTGTATTGTCGTTGAAATGCATAAAACACATTATACTCTCATATCTATGCCTGGCCATGGCAGCAGAGAACACGGATTATGATGAATCGGGTCTGCGGACCAATACAACCGCAATTAATTTTTTTTAGTAATGCCCATGTTGAGGGTTAGGTCCAAAATAAATTTAAATTCAGAAACCGTAATGAGTTTCCATGCAAATGGTCTGACAAGGTTTGAATTTGGGTTGGCGGCAATCAATGCATATACAGTCATGGCCGAAATTGTTGGCACCCTTGATATTTCTCCAGGAAATCATGTATTTCTCACGAAACGTATTGCATTAACACATGTTTTGCTATACACATGTTTATTCCCTTTGTGTGTATTGGGACAAAACAAAAAAAGGGAGGAAAGAAAGCAAATTCGACATAATGTCACACAAACCTCCAAAAATGGGCTGGACAAAAGTATTGGCACCCTTTCACAACTGCGGATAAATAAGAATGTTACAAGCATGTGATGCTCCTGTAAACTCACCTGGGGCAAGTAACAGGTGTGGGCAATATAGAAATCACACCTGAAAGCAGATAAAAAGGAGAGACGTTCACTTAACCTTTGCATTGTGTGTCTGTCTGTGCCACACTAAGCATGGACAACAGAAAGAGGAGACGAGAACTGTCTGAGGACCTGAGAACCAAAATTGTGGCAAAATATCAACAATCTCAAGGTTACAAGTCCATCTCCAGAGAACTAGATTTGCCTTTGTCCACAGTGCGCAACATTATCAAGAAGTTTGCAACCCATGGCACTGTAGCTAATCTCCCTGGTCGTGGACGGATGAGGAAAATTGATGAAAGATTGCAACGCAGAATAGTCCGGATGGTGGATAAGCAGCCCCAAACATGTTCCAAAGACATTCAAGCTGTCCTGCAGGCTCAGGGAGCATCAGTGTCAGCGAGAACTATCCGTCGACATTTAAATGAAATGAAACGCTATGGCAGGAGACCCAGGAGGACCCCACTGCTGACACAGAGACATAAAAAAGCAAGACTACAGTTTGCCAAAATGTACTTGAGTAAGCCAAAAGCCTTCTGGGAAAACGTCTTGTGGACAGATGAGACCAAGATAGAGCTTTTCGGTAAAGCACATCATTCTACTGTTTACCGAAAACGGAATGAGGCCTACAAAGAACAAAACACAGTACCTACGGTAAAATATGGTGGAGGTTCAATGATGTTTTGGGGTTGTTTTGCTGCCTCTGGCACTGGGTGCCTTGACTGTGTGCAAGGCATCATGAAATCTGAGGATTACCAAAGGATTTTGGGTCGCACTGTAGGGCCCAGTGTCAGAAAGCTGGGTTTTGCGTCCAAGATCCTGGGTCTTCCAGCAGGACAATGACCCCAAACATACGTCAAAAAGCACTCAGAAATGGATGGCAAAGAAGCGCTGGAGAGTTCTGAAGTGGCCAGCAATGAGCCCAGATCTAAATCCCATTGAACACCTGTGGAGAGATCTTAAAATTGCTGTTGGGAAAAGGTGTCCTTCCAATAAGAGAGACCTGGAGCTGTTTGCAAAGGAAGAGTGGTCCAAAATTCCGGGTGAGAGGTGTCAGAAGCTTATTGATGGTTATAGGAAGCGACTGATTTCAGTTATGTTTTCCAAAGGGTGTGCAACCAAATATTAAGTTAAGGGTGCCAATACTTTTGTCCAGCCCATTTTTGGGGTTTTGTGTGACATTATGTCATATTTGCTTTTCTGCCTCTGTTTTATATTTGTTCCAATACATACAAAGGGAATAAACATGTGTATAGCAAAACATGTGTTAATGCAATACCTTTTTTGTGTGAAATACTTGATTTTCAGGAAAAATATCAAGGGTGCCAACAATTTCGGCCATGACTGTAGATCTTCTGTGAAAAACAGCTCCACAAAATCAAGGGGAGTAGTTAAATTTGCCATTTCCACCTGAATTCCGGGTTGGGTAGTGAATGGGGGAAGTATGGGTGCTGCAGAATTTGTGGGCTGCCATTCGGGATTTGAAAGCACATCCAGAAGGATACTAGGGGCTCTACGGGCCTGTGTGCAAATTCTTGGTGGCTACGGGACAATACTTGTGCTCACCACTGCACCAGCTTGTACTGCACTTATGGGACTTGCCACATCGCCAAGTCATACTGCAGTGCTGGTATTATTTATTATTATTATACAGGATTTATATAGCGCCAACAGTTTGCTCAGCGCTTTACAACATAACAGGAGACAATACAGCAACAATACAGTTCAATACAAAATGGTTAGGAGTGCCCTGCCCCTTGGAGCTTACAATCTAAGAGGTATGTGAAAGACCAAGATGTACTAGGCCACTAGTACTCGGCAGTTCACCAAAAGGTAGCGTGGCACTAGTACTGACACTCTGCTGCATATGAGGGTCATCAAAATTTACCTGCAAGTGGTAACAGATATCAGGCCTGATTTTGCGAACACTGCGGTTTTGTGTGCAATGTATCAAGTTACAGTGACCTACTGACACTGCACTTGCTGGGAGTGAAGGGGAGGGTAAGCGTAGGGGCTAAATGCAGGTGCTGGCAGGTGCTGGGGCTGATCCCTCTAACACTGCATTTTTTGGGGACGCTATACTATATGTGAATGCTGGTATAGTGCTAATCTGATCAAAGATATTGATCTGTTCAGACACTATACTAGCAATGGAGGTTTATTGTGTATGAGCATCTAACTGGCAATCAAGGGATTAAATGTGATGACTGGTGTACTGGAGGGCAATCTGACGCTATCTGGGAGGGGCGTGAAAACCACGGGAGGGTGAATCAAGTATTTATATATGTGATTTTGCGCACCCCTGCCGCCCTGTAGCAGTATTTCTGCTATAGGGCTGTCAGGAAGTGGTTACATAAGCGGTTTGTGTTATGGCGCTGCGTCATTTTAACTGACAATTGCGCGGTCATGCAACGCTACACCAAAATTAAATTTACATCCTTTTTTCCCCATGAATTGGGCTTTTTGGTGGTATTTGATAGCCTTTACTTTTTTGTATGTTTTGCGCTCTAAAAAAAATGACAATTTTGAGAAAAAAAAAAACAATATTTTGGACTTTTTGCTATAAAACATGTCCAGTAAAAAAATGTAAAAATCAAATTTCATCATAAATGTATGCGAAAATGTATTCTGCGACATGTCTTTGCTAAAACAAAATCCCAATAATTGGTTTACGTGAAAGTTATAATGTTTACAAATGGCGGTATAGATACTGGATTTTTTTTTGTATACTAATAATAGTGGCAATCGGCAACTTACGGCAGCAATCAGTGACTTATGGCAGCGATCAGTGACTTATGGCGGGACTGCAGCGGACATTCTGACACTGGGGGGGGAACTGACTTGGGGTCACTGACATCACTAGTGACAGAAATACAGTGATCAGTGCAAAAAAAAAGCACTGACACTGTACTAATGGCACTGGGGAGGAAGGGGTTAACAGTTTTAGGCAAGCAAAGGGTTAACTGTGTGAGGGGAGTTTTTTACTAGGGGGCGGGGAGGGTGTTCTTCACTGTTGCACGCTGTCCCAGAAAGCTAAGCTCTGCTCTCCGGAACAGTGAGCTGGGAACTGAAAGGGAGCAGAGCTGAATTGAAAAAAATGCAGCTGTGCTCCGTGTCAGTGTTTGCCGGCAATCGCCAGGACCCGGCGCGTAATCACTGACCGGGACCCAGTGAAGGCACCTGCGGCCGCGATCGGTGCCATGGGCAGGGCGGTAACGCGCCTCACGCGCACCCCCTACCATGTAAACAGGATGACGTTTATAAACGTGATCCTGCCTACAGGGGCTGCTTTGCCACAGTAAATGTACTGTGGGTCAGTCCCCTAGTGGTTAAGATATTTCTTTTTACCACATCAAGAAATAAACATAACCGAACAAGTACACCACAGTGTGGAAGAATATAAGCAACTGAATTAAAGTCGTTCAGGATGTTTGTATGATGTACTTGATTTGTTATAACCAACATCCTGTTAAGAAGGTTTTGCAAAGGACAATTTTAATAGCAACATTAATAATGCACTTTATGAACGTCCTGTCATCTAAAATCTGGGCAGAGTACACTAGATTAGTGTTGCATTTTTATTGCTGCACTTGTTTATCATTTTTAGCACTTTTTACCACCCTATTACATAATTCTGTAATTGTCTTAGAGTTTCCCCATTTTGTGGTCAGACATGTATTCATGACTGATGAGCCTGAGTGCAGTAGAAGAGAGAACTGAAATTTTAGTTTATATTCCAGTTTTTATACTTTTTTACTTCCTACACTGTTCTGATATTCTTAAGCCCTGTATACACAATGAGAATATTGGACAAACGATCGCCTGTCTTTTTCGCCTGCTAGTCTCACATCGACAATGAAAAGATACCAAAATACTCCTATGAAAGTAAAGAATTTCAAAAGTGATGTCATGTATTGTATTGTATTTGTATTGTATTTTCGGACGACTACTGTACTGATTAAATGAAAATCATACGATTTAGTATCGCACAAGAAAGATTTTCGTGCTTGTCCCTTTAGATTATGTCGCACGAATTGTCTTGATCGGCTCTCGAAAGCTGTGCAATAACGGTCCAATTATCAGACGATTGGTCCTCATACGAAAATAATTTCGTCCGATTTTCTTATAGTGTGTATGAGGCATTAGCTTTATATATAATTTAGTAAAAATGAGGGAAGAAAAAATAGACTTGACATGTTTTAGAATGTCACAAACCTGTTTTGCTAGAAGGAGTTGAAAAGTCCACAGTGCCAGAATTTCCTTCTCCCTTTTCTCCTTTTTCCCCCTTTTGTCCTTTTTCACCTTTAGCACCTGGTTCACCTTTAGGAAATGTAACAGTTTAATAATATTGTTAATACGGATCTTAAAAAGTGTTGATTGATCGAGGTTATGTTTACTTAACTGACAGTGGTATAGGGACAAAGGCTCAGTTACAGGCAATGCCATGAGTTAGTATTTGATGCGTTGCAAAGGCATATGGATATACATGTAGTTGTTAAATAGTGGAAAAGCAATATTGGAGGACTAGAAGAATCATTTTTGTGGCATATTCTTCTTTTCTTCTTTTCTTTATGTCTTTCTGGAAAAACTGTTCTGTAGAATATCATTGCAACTTCTACCTTTAGTTCCGCGTCCTACATAACCTTGCGGTCCTCTTGCACCTGCAGGTCCTGAAGGTCCTGGAAAAACATCAAAATAAGCATGTTCACCAAGTTAAAATACTAAATAAAAATAGAAATCAGTGTGCTGGTTTACTAAATGAGTTTTGACTGTTCACTTAGCAAAAGTGAAATCTATCTTACTGTAGCTTAGTGGAAAAAAAGATATTTGCATGCACACTATTGGATGTTTGAAGTCAGCAGAGCTTCAGCTCATTCACTAAGCTATGTGGAAAATTAATTTGCAAAGTTAAAATTCACTTTGCTAAGTGAACAGCCTATATTCCTCATAATGACCAGCCTCTGTGCCTCCAAATCTTATGGTCCTTGCATTCTTTCAGTTCTAATGAGTGCCAGGAACAATACACAAGCATTCATATCTACAAAGTTAGCATATACACCTTAATCCAATCAAAATAGAATGTGTGAAAGCAGATGTTAGCTGTCCATGAACAGGAAGGCATGTGTGGAAGTTGTAGAACCACCATGTTGTAATGGCATAGAAACTGGTTTACTAAAAAATCTGAGAATGTTCACAAAATAAAAAAAATCATCTGCACAGGATTGGATAATTGAAGTGAATCTTCACACAATTTATTATATGTACTTTCTCAGATTTTGTAGTTAGATTCTTAGAAAATCAGCCTCCTAATCTAAGTTTTGGTGTCAATTTGCATAGGTGTTAATCCTTTTATTCTCATAGCTGAAGGTATAAGTTGTCAAATAGCTGGTACACAGATCTTTAAATAGTGTCAAAAACAATGGAGGCTGTTGAAGGCACCCAACCCCTGTCTAGGAATGGTTGTCCCAGTTTGACATAGATGGACTTTTTCATGGCCTTTTTCGTGACCTATTGCAAAACAGTTTTCCTTTCTGAATAATTTGCCCGTATTTGCTGGGTCATTTTTTTTTTTGAGAAGTTGTACAGGTATTTGCATTCCTCAATATACTGCACTGCCTATACCAAGTTACTTTGCTTCTGTTTGGGTGTTGTGTCATTTGGATGTACAAGTTTTGTCTCAGTGTATTGGTGGGCTTGAAAGACACAGGAATGCAATGTTTGTTAAAGATCTTCCTCAGTTTTTGCAACACTCCAGGAAAATATGGGATAACTATATTACTCTGTGTTTTCTGCTTCTCCCATCTGTTTGATGGGCCTGTTTTTTCATTTGACCTTGTGGATATTTTAACAAAAACTCAGTCTGTGTAACCACAAATCTTCAAAGCACTCCTGAGTGGTCTCTGTTCCTAGTCTTTAGACTCTGTAGGGTTGTTTACTAAAACTGGAGAGTACAAAATCTGATGCAGCTGTGCATGGTAGAAAATCAACTTCTAACTTCAGCTTGTCCAATTGAAGCTTTAACAAAAAAAACTGGAAGCTGATTGGTTTCTGTGCAGAGCTGCACCAGATTTTGTACTCTCCAGTTATAGTAAATCTACTCGTGTTTGTTTTTGCACAGTAAAAGCACCCCTACTGCAGATGTGTGTTTACACGAAACACGTCTAGGAGGAGCCCCTGCACGCTTTGACGCTACGCCGCCGGATCAGGAGGTCCGGCGGCCCACATTAGATGTATACTGGTCAGTGTTTGTGGGTGCTTTTACTGCTCATAGCAGTTTCATACTATATACAGTCATTCATGTATGTATTTCTGCTCAGATTTTAATGTAATAAATTTATAGATTTTAAATACTACACTATGAGCACCTTTATTCTCCATGTCTGGCACTGAGCCTCCATGTCTCAGCCCCAGTGATTTAGGTATTGCTGCAGACTTGATGAAGTAAATACTTGGAGATCAGATCGGTATCCTTTCTTTCACCACTGAGGGTCCATCAGAGGATTTCATTTCCGGGCTGTCTTTATTCAAGATCCTAGGATGCATGTGATACAGATATGCGTTTATTACTGGGTTTCTGGTGAGTAGGCAATCTATTCATATTATCACAACGGGAGACGGGATTGCACCTACAACGTCTGATATTTCACTGTGGACTGAGGAATCCATATATTTATATTACAGTGGACTTATTTTAATATTAGTATTATTTGACTATATTGATATTATTTTACTGTATTTTTTCTTTGCCATTTAATTTGATGTAGCGCTGCACTCCTTATTACACCACACGATGAGTCTTTCTAACTATGTATCTTGTAAGTGCAATTTATCTATTTCTTACTAATAAATTGTCAATACTGCACTTAGTGGCGCCTTCCTCTCTTTTTCATGTTACTGCATTTGAGCCTTGCTTCCACTCTAAGAAGAGCTGCCTCAGTGTTACTGCTCCCATCCATCCATCCCTGATATTCATCTGGCACCTTTATCCTACAGCTACAGAGGTTGGCCTCTAACAAGCGCGCCCTATATAATATACACAAACTGCAAAACATCTACATCTTCAAATTCAGCTGAATTTGACTAACTACTATTACCTATATCATGACCTGGACTATTGAGAGCCTTCTCTGATAATGTCCAGACAGTGCCAGTGAGAGATTAATGGAAGGAGAGGCTGATGAAAGCTTTCTCCTTCCTGCAACAGACTGATGCCAATATGCCAAGATGCTGTCCTGCCTTCATGCCTAAGGACTGTCATTTGGCTGATAATAGGGGGCTCTTTGTAATGATAAAATATTTTTTTTCAGAAACCCTAAACATTACTGTATATAAAGATTTGTAAATTTTCTTGATTGGGCAACGTGCAGATTTACTTTAAAAATGTCCTAAACTCCAGACAAACACCTAAACACACAGATAAAATATACAATATGGGAGCTGTTTTACCTGCCAAAGGATTTGTATTTCTGTCCATCCAGTTATGAGATTTACCTAGCTCTGCCATACAGCACTCTCCTGTTTGGCAGGGCAGGAAATTTTATTTTTCTTAACTGCAGTTAAGCAACATTTATCAGTCTTGCCCCCCCCCCCCCCCTTCCTTACCATATGGCTAAACAGTGAAAGGAAAAGCAGATTAATGATAAGCTCATCTCTTTGACATTGTGTTTTATCCCCTATTGGCATTCTCCAAGTAAGCACTTGCACACAGACAACATAACTCATTGCTCCTCTCCCAGAATGAGCTCTGCTGTACAAGACCAGCAAGAGGGTTTTACTAGTCAAATTCAGATAGTTACACTGCTTTTATTAAAAAAATTCATTTTATTACTGAATACAGAGCTGAATTGATTTGTATTTTCTGACTGGAAGTCAGAATCCATTCAGTTTCAATAATTGATGTAATTGAACATTTTAGTGTGTTTTACTTTAAGTAAAAAAGTACACTTGCAGTAATTACAATTTGTGTATAGCTTTGAGAATTCTAATGAATAACCCTGAATCATTCATTTACTTAACATAATAGGATATATACTGATCTAAATAACATGATATAATTTGTTGCACAATACTTCATTTGCTGATAGTGGATGCTTTCAGTTCTGGTTCTCAAAAACCTTTCTATGCTGTGCCTTTGCATGTGATAATACTAACCACATTTAGGTCACTCAGTTGCTAGTACTCTTTATGTTAACCATGCAACAGAGTATAAAGAACATCATCTGCTTAATGTGGAATCGAGCCTAAAAAAAAATGCTGACAAGTAGGATTTTTATGACAGATGGGACCTCATTGTTCTCTTCTATCAAAACTGCTTCTCCCTGCCTGTCAGCTTTAATGTACCCCAAGCCAGCTCAGCATACATTTATGGCACAGCTCCTTGCAGTGATGATGTAATTCCCATGCTTATGGTCTGACGTCATCACGGCTTGGGCAACTAAGTGACTGACTGATTCGAACCCAGAAGTAAGACCAAGAAGCCCATGAACAGCTCTGAGAAAATGGAAGCACCCATGAAGAGCTCTGGAGGGGATCATTTGACAAGTCTGCAATAATGTGTTAATATGCCATGCATACTAGCACATTATTCCTAACTGCTCCTGGGGGCCCATTTTAAAAAATTAAAAAATTAAAAAGTTTAATTCCCAATCTAATTTGAATTGCTAAAAATTATTCTAAAGTTAGTATGTCTGATTTTAATAACAAACATGTTATACTTACCTGCTCTGTGCAATGGTTTTGCACAATGCAGCCTCAATCCTCTTCTTTTTGGGTCCCCCAAGCGGTTCTGGCTCCTCCCCCCTTGATATGGGGGCATTTGAGCAGACTCCTTCCCAAGCCACATTCCTGTGAATGGACATTGTCTATACACACAGAGCATGTCTCGACCCCGCCCCCCCCCCACTCTCTCATCATTGGCTCACTGGCTGTGATTGACAGCAGCAGCCAATGGCTCCCACTGCTGTGTGAGGCAATCAGGAGATAGAGATCCAGGAGAGCCATGGCTCTCATGCACTGCACTGGATCAAGATGGGACTTTGCAAAAAATTCTAACACTGACACTAATGCAAACCAACACACCTATTGTGGTAACATGCATTTAATGGGTGTTAAACCTCTTCCCGCCATCCGTGCGCATATATGTGGCCTCTTGGCAGGTGGGCCTTAATGCCAAGAGGCTGAATATATGCGTACAAATGCTGTGACGGGAACTCCTGGCACAGTTATCAGCGGCTAATGGAAAGCTTCCTACCTCTACTTGTGATCGGGAGCTATCTGATCATGTGACTGCTGTGACAGCTAATCCCGGTGGTCACATGTCTGAAATGCCATCCTCCGCCTTCCAGCATCTGAAACCTCTTAAAGGGCTGGGAGATGCTGGCGGGAAGGGGTTAAGGCAAGGTAAAAAATGCACCACAGATCCCATCCAATTTTGTTTTGTATTAAGGGGATGTGTTTTTTTTTTCCCACCTCACTTATATTTAACAAACACTTGTCAAATGCACTGTAAACGCACTGCAAATACTACAGATGTGTTATAATAGACTTGAATGGAACAGGTTGACAAGCAAGAGTCCTCCCAGACTCAACATGTAGCTTCATTTTTGCCACACAGAAATGCAAAGTGATGAAAACGCTACATTTTTTTCAAATGTGAACAGTTCTGTCTATTGTCCATAGTATCCACTATTATTTTGCTCAGCATTCAGGAAGTGGCAAAAACATGCCCCAAATGTCTGTTTATAATGCCAGTGTAAACAGGACCTTATTTTCTGCATATATATTCCAGACCAGTGACTCAGAAGTACTTACAGTATGCCAGACATAGTCAACAAGTATTATCAGAAGGAAACTAAAAGAAGCCAGCTCATGTGATTCTGGCATGAAAAGCAGCTTTAGGCTGGCCCCAGGATATTGTAAGCTTTTAGTAACTTGTGCAATACAGGCTAACATTATTTGAAATTCCAAATTTTGCTGAAGCATTTAAATCTTAAACATTCCAAAGGCATCACATAAAAATGTACCTGGTCTTCCAATTATTCCTGCTAAGCCATTGTCCCCCTTTTCTCCTTTAGGACCAGGAGGACCTAAAATGTAAAATTCAGCAGTTTAAATAACAAAAGGGATAGCTGAAATAAATTGGTACTATTGTTGAAAATGCTTTATATTCATGCACAGATATCAAATAACAACTAATAACAAATTAGTTCAAATACTTTTTTCATGATTACCAGTTTATATCTAGCAGGTTTGCAAGAAGGTCATGGTAGTTTCTGACCAGGCTGTCTGATTATCGTCACCTGACAGGACAAGGTCTCATAAAAACTTTAAACCAGTGTTCATTCTTTTCATTAAAATTCCTAGCATCAAGATTGGTTACTTAGCTGATAACTAGTTTCTTATTTCTATAAGTTAATGGGAAACTCTTTGATCATTTAGGTGGTTATGTAAGGAAATGTCCTTATCTGATAGGGTACCCTTATCTGATAGAACCCCAAGATTTCAGCCCTAAGGCCGAAGCTCAAACTTTTGTATTTTTAAGCTGTGCTTAAGCAAACACACAATTTATGTGATCCTTTTTTTTCTTTCCTCAAATTACTTTTCAGGACTCTGGTACAAATTACATTTTTTATTTGTAAAGGTGACTTTAGGTTAACATTATCTTGCCAAAGAAGAAGAAAATCTGACTGGAATACATATATATATATATATATATATATATATATATATATATATACATATAGTTGTAGTGCCCTCCTAGTCAGCTAGGGCAAGCTAGATCATAAGGTTAGAAGGTGTAATATTCAGAGGGGTCAAATTTCGATCAGGAACTGGAAGGCTGTGCAGACTCAGCCCTCTGAGACTTCTCCCTGACTAGAACTTTGGAGAAAGTTCCAGAAGCAGTGGGCGGATGTAAGGAGTGGCTGATCTGCATATTTAAAGGGACTCTGACCAATCCCCAACAGGAGGCTTGGCAAGGGGTCAGAATAGCCCTTAAATGTGAGTGAACCTGTCCAGTGGAAGAAAGAGAGAGGAAGATGTGAGGCTGTGAGGGAGAGGGCTGATTGGAGGCCCAGTGTGATGGGACCTACCTGCAGTCCTGGATCTGGGTGGGAGAAAAGCTCAGAGCTCACTGGCCCCCTGAGAGAGGACCATCTGTATGGCAGGGAAGGAGCGGCCCAGCTGATAGGCCTGATAACAGCCACCAACCCACCAGCGGTACAGGAGAGGATCTGAGTGAGTATACCTGCACTGCCTGGGAAGATAGGGGAAGGAGCATTATGGTGGGAAACCAAATTAGCCCCCTACTTGTGACTGTTCACCTCTTTCAAGAGACAGTAGTTGGATCCCCTGCTCAGGGATACCTCTAGATTGCTGGGTAAAGAGGAGAAGTTCATTTAGGGTCTGGGGAGGTTCTCTAAGGAGACACTGGCTAGCTATCTAACAAAGACTGTGCTGCAGAGAAGGTTTGTAAATAGTTCCAGAGAGCTGTCCTCAATTTGTTGGTACCCTTGGGCATTCTGTACACCCCTAACCCTATCCCAGTTCAAATCCCCTCAATAAACAAAACAAAACCAAAGCTCAAGGACTGATTTCTGACTCTGGATGCAAGCCTGTGTGAAGATGTGTGATGCCTGGCTATGCAGGACTATAGGGGGACACAAATACTCAGCAACTCCTAAGCGGGTAGTGCTACGCAGTCTATCTATCTATCTATCTATCTATCTATCTATCTATCTATCTATCTATCTATCTAAGGGTGGTTGAAAATTTACATAGAGTAAATCATTTAGATACAGGTTAGCCTTCCTCTTTGCTTGCAGTAAATTTATGTTTAAAGTGACAAGAACACAGATAAACATATAACTCCAATGATTCTTTAGATAAAACACTGAAGGTTCAAAAAGCAAGCACCTAGTCCATGTACAGTACATGCGTATCATCTCCATTACTGTTTATATAATAATAAAAGAAAAAGAGAATAAAAATCCCAAAGAAAAAAAAAATTCTCAAATCTTTAAAAGTAAGCACAAGGTCTGTGCATGTAGGCCCTCTAAAAAACTGAAAACTTTAAATTGGTCTCTGGGAACAACAAGAAAGCAAATTAAATATTTTCTTTAGCTCTGTGTATGCAAAGGAATATGCTCATGTTAATCTTGTCGACACAATTTGAAATGCTTGCAGTTGGGTTGATTTAATAAAACTGCAGAGTGCAAAATCTGGTGCAGCTCTGAATAGAAAACAATCAGCTTCCAGGTTGTATTGTCAAAGCTTAATTGAACAAGCTGAGGTTAGAAACTGATTGGCTACCATGCAGAGCTGAACCAGATTTTGCACTCTCCAGTTTACAAAATCAAACCCAAATGCTTAACAGCTAAGCGTGCCTTATGAATAGACAAATGGGCTTTAAAATGTTAAAATGCACTGTGCCCTTTTGCAAAACACAATACAATGTAATTGTTATACATTTAGGTCTCTGCTTGCACCCCTTTTTTAAAAAAAAGTGCACACTCTTCTTCCTATCCCAGAAATGTTGAACCACTGGAGAACATGTTCTTTACACGCACTAAGGAAATGAAAAAGAGAAACATGCTGCCTTGACGCTGAGAGTCCAAGCTCTAATGTGTTCTAGAAGTCTCTAAGCTATTAGAAACCAGAGTATTTTTTATATTTCTGCTATGGGACTGTTTGTTTGGCAATACATTTGTCATAACGTAATGGGTAACTCCACTATCATGACAAAATATAGAAATTAAAAAATATAGCATATCCAATTGCTATAGAATCCATATTGTAATTTAATATTATTAAAAAATTATTTTGCTTTTCAATCTGTATCTATTGTAATTTTCTGTAAATTTCAATGCAATATGGCAGCCTGGAGATGTTTTGTGTCACTGATTTTCCCAGCAGGCTGCACTAAAATACAAGTCAAATTTTAGGCATCCTCTGCAAGAGAAATATTAGTTTTTGTGAGATACACAAGGTTTGATTATTCCGAAAGGGATGCAGACACTGCAGCTTTTTACATCAGAACACAAAGAGTGCACCAGCTGATTATATTGACCCACTCCCTTCCATTCAAAAATAGTATCCAAAGAACACAGAGGAACAAACAGCTTTTTCTTCAGAGCAGAAACAGGTACCTGCTACAAAGTTCTTTAAAATCCAGGAAACGTACACAGATCATCTGGGGATTGTTTTTTTTTCTCAACAAAAAGGGAATTACTTTTAAGATAACAAAGTAATACATACATATTTTTTTAGATAAATTGCTTTCTTTTGGGGATGTTGTCTTGCAAAATTATTTTTTATGAATTCCATAGACAAAAAATGTATTAAAACTGAAAAAAACACACTTTTTCCTACTTTGATCAATGTTACTCTAGATAACATCTATAAATTGTTTTCTTTAATTTGTCTTATTTAAATTGGAATAGCAAAGTTTTCATTTCTTGTCAGGTTGCTTTAACTGATATTGTATGCAGACTAAGTCCCCAGTCACACTGGATGCGAATGGGCATGCGATGTGCATGGCATGCGACTTACAAATCGCATGCCAAGTCGCACCCTATTGTCCGTAATTACAGTGGTCATATCGGTGCGGTTCTGACTTGGTTGGAGCTGCACCGATTTCTAAAGTAGTACATGCACTACTTTTGGTGCGATTTGCATAGACATCTGTGTCAGATGTCTTGCAAATCCCACCTGAAATCGGCATCTCATCCGACTTTGAAATCGTAATCACTGTAAGTCGCAAGATTTCAAAGTCAGGTTTGGTGTGACTGGGGTGTAAAACTCAAGCCTTTGATCTAATGTTGAATGAAACAAAGAAATACAAGAGTGACAATGTTACTTTGTATGTCTTTATTTTGCTTCTGAACAAAATTTGCTAACATGGAGTCAGAGAGTCCAATTTTGTATAGCTTCTTATAACAGCCAAGAACTATTCTTTCACAGTACAGTGCAAAAGTAAGGATTGCAGTGCTGTCTGAAGGCTCTTATTATTATTATTATTTTTTTTTTTTTTAAATAAAAACTACAGATTGCTCAGATGCTGGTAGAGTGGTAGACAAAATAGTTTTTCCTGTCCAGGATTCAACCTCAAAGTTAAAATGGTTCAGAATTGATTCAGTAAAATAAACATGAAAAATCACCTAGGCTAGATAGCTTACATTAATAAGTCCTCAAAAAGCTGAGCTCAGTTATTTCAAAGCGATTGTTTCTAATTTGTAGAGGCTCTTTAACGACTGGCTGGGTGCCAAGGGATTGGAGCAAAACAAATGTGGTACTTATATTCAAAAGGAGATCAATGCCTTCACCTAATAACCATAGACCAGGAAATGTCAGTTCTATTGTAGGAAAGACATTGGAGTGGTTAGTAAAGGACTATATGAAAAAAAAAGTATGTGAAAAAAAATCAAAATCAAATCATAAATTATAGCCAGCATAGATGTATGAAAGATATTTGTTAAAATACAAATCTACACTCTTTGTATGAGGCAATGACCAAAAATATGAATTAACGGGTGGCTATGGTTGTAATTTATTCGGCTTCTAGAAAAGTGTTTAATGTGGATCTCAATGTGTACATTAAAGTGGAACTAACCCCTCCTATCATTTTCTGCCACGGAAGCTGCCATCTTGGTTTCTGTTTGATCTTCATCTGCCATGATGCTGCACCGAACATTTGATGGTTTGACAGTTTGGCTGAGAGCACAAGTAGATGGGATCAGAGGCGGTGTCAGGGCTCCCGGTATGACCAGAGGTGTGTGACTGACGCAGGGAAACGCAGACTTCAGATATGTTATAAACGATATAATTTATTGACACTAACAATACAAACATAAACACAGTGCAATACTAAAACATAACACAGTGCAAACAAACCAAACCAACCACCCACAGATAACAGTACATACAATGCAAGCGTCGTCAGGCAGGCCGGGTCAATATCAATCGGGCAGGTAGGTACAGGGGGAGCAAGCGGAGAATGGTCGGGGTCACAAGCCAGGTTCAGCAGGTAGCGGGCAGCGTGGTACAGAGGGTCAGGCAGAGGGATGGTCAGGAACGAGCCGGGGTCAGAGCAGGAGAAGTCAGCAGAGGTCAGATCAGGCAGGGTCAGAAACAAGACAAGAACAGGAACAGGATGCAGGAACAGGATACAGGGCCCAGGAAAAACACACACCAAGGCAGAGTCTGCAGGTCTGGCCATTCCTTAAATACACCAGTATAAGCAGTTTCGGGTGTTTAGCTGGCTGCAAGGTTGAGACTCTGATTGCTGGGAGCACCCGCTGGCCAGCCCTGGTACTGCAGCCCATAAGGCAGGCGAGTCCCACCATTGCTGGCCAGTCCATTCCTGACAGTACCCCCCCCTCAAGGAGCGGCCTCACGACGCTCCAAACAGTCCTAGCTGGGCAAAATGTTCCACCGCCCGGGTCTGGGAACTGGCGGGATATCAAAGACTGGCACACCGGGCAGGGCAGGACTCCGGGCAGCGGCACACTGAGCAGGACTCCGGGCAGCGGCACACCGGGCAGAACTCCGGGCAGAGGCACATCGGGCAGCGGCACACCGGGCTGGACTCCGGGCATCGGCACATCGGGCTGGACTCCGGGCAGCGGCACATCGGGCAGGACTCCGGGCAGAGGCACATCGGGCAGGACTCCGGGCAGAGGCACATCGGGCAGGACTCCGGGCAGAGGCACATCGGGCTGGACTCCGGGCAGAGGCACATCGGGCGGAGCAGCAGGCACCGGGCCCCCAGGCGGAGCAGCAGGCACCGGGCACCCAGACGGGGCGACGGGCACCGGGCCCCCAGACGGGGCGGCGGGCGCCGGGCCCCCAGGCGGAGTGGCGGGCGCCGGGCCCCCAGGCGGGGCGACAGGCATCGGGCCCCCAGGCGGAGGGGCGACAGGCATCGGGCCCCCAGGCGGAGGGGCGACAGGCATCGGGCCCCCAGGTGGGGCAACAGGCATCGGGCCCCCAGGTGGGCGCCGGACCCCCAGGCAGAGCAACAGGTCTCGGGCCCCCAGGCAGAGTGGCGGGCGCCAGACCCCTAGGCGGAGCGGTAGGTCTCGGGCCCCCAGGCGGAGCGGCGGGCGCCGGACCCCCAGGCTGAGCGACAGGTCTTGGGCCCCCAGGCGGAGCGGCGGGCGCCGGACCCCCAGGCGGAGCGACAGATCTCGGGCCCCCAGGCGGAGGGGCAACAGGCATCGGGCCCCCAGGCGGAGGGGCGACAGGCATCAGGCCCCCAGGCGGAGGGGCGACAGGCTTCGGGCCCCAAGGCGGGGCGACAGGCATTGGGCCCCCAGGCGGGGCGACAGGCATCGGGCCCCCAGGCGGGGCAGCGGGCGCCGGACCCCCCAGGTGGAGCGACAGGTCTCGGGCCCTCAGGCGGAGCGGCGGGCGCCAGACCCCTATGCGGAGCGACAGGTCTCGGACCCCCAGGCTGAGCGACAGGTCTTGGGCCCCCAGGAGGAGCAGCGGGCGCCGGACCCCCAGGCGGAGCGACAGATCTCGGGCCCCCAGGCGGAGCGGCGGGCGCCGGACCCCCAGGCGGAGCGACAGGTCTCGGGCCCCCAGGCATGGCGGCGGGCGCCGGACCCCCAGGCGGAGCGACAGGTCTCGGGCCCCCAGGCGGAGCGGCGGGCGCCCAGACCCCTAGGCAGAGCGACAGGTCTCGGGCCCCCAGGCGGAGCGGCGGGCGCCAGACCCCCAGGCTGAGCGTCAGGTCTCGGGCCCCCAGGCGAAGCGGCGGGCGCCGGACCCCCAGCCGGAGTGACAGATCTCGGGCCCCTAGGCGGAGCGGCAGGCGCCGGACCCCCAGGCGGAGCGACAGGTCTCGGGCCCCCAGGCGGGGCGGCGGGCGCCGAACCCCCAGGCGGAGCGACAGGTCTCGGGCCCCCAGGCGGAGCGGCGGGCGCCGGACCCCCAGGCGGAGCGACAGACAGGTCTTAGGCCCCCAGGCGGAGCGGCGGGTGCCGAACCCCCAGGCGAAACAACAGGCACCGGGTCACCAGGCACGACAGTGGGCTCCGAGTCAACTGGCATGACCGCTGGCACTGGGTCAGACAATGGATCGTCTGGCTGGACAGCGGGCATCGGGTCACCAGGCATCAGGTCACTTGGCTCGACAGCGGGCACCGCATCATCTGGCAAGGCAGTGGGCTCCGAGTCAACTGGCATGACCGCGGGCACTGGGTCAGACATTGGATCGTCTGGCTGGACAGCGGGCATCGGGTCACCAGGCATCAGGTCATTTGGCTCGACAGCGGGCACCGCGTCATCTGGCAAGGCAGTGGGCTCCGAGTCAACTGGCATGACCGCGGGCACTGGGTCAGACATTGGATCGTCTGGCTGGACAGCGGGCATCGGGTCACCAGGCATCAGGTCATTTGGCTCAACAGCGGGCACCGCGTCATCTGGCAAGACAGTGGGCACCAAGTCACCAGGCACGACAGTGGGCTCTGACTCAATTGGCACGACAGCGGGCACCGGGTCATCAGGTACCGGATTGTCTGGCTCGACAGCGGCCATCGGGTCACCAGGTATGACAGCGGGCACTGGGTCACCAGGCATCAGGTCATTTGGCTCACCAGCGGGCACCGCGTCATCTGGCAAGGCAGTGGGCACCGAGTCACCAGGTACGACAGCGGGCTCTGAGTCAATTGGCACGACAGCGGGCACCGGATCAGGTACCGGATCATCTGGATCAACAGCGGGCATCGAGTCAACTGACCTAATAGGATCATCAGGCTGGATCAGTTCATCATGCTGGGTAGAGGCATCAGGCTGAGTGGAGGCATCAGGCTGAGTAGAGGTATCAGGCTGAGTAGAGGCATCAGACTGAGTAGAGGCATCAGGCTGAAGACAGGCATCAGGCTGCAGACAGGCATCAGGCTGGGTACAGGCATCAGGCTGGGTACAGGCATCAGGCTGAAGTGCGGGTGCCGAGGCACCAGGCTGAACCAGAAGGCAGGTTCTCAGACGGCAGGCTCACCGGTTTGGATACTGGCAGGATGGTATTGGTTGGAAAGAATTTTCGCTTTTTTCTGGTTTTAACTACTGGGGCACTGCAAGTAAACGCAGGTCTGCAAACGAATGGAGCAGCTGAGGACAGAGAAGAGCTGGAGCATGGAACAGGAGAGGGAGCAGTTGCTACAGAGGGCTTTTTTACAGGGTTAAAGGCAGGATAGGTGCAGCGAGTGGGAACAGGGTACTGACATGCGGTAGATAGCAGGGCAGGAGGAGCTGTTGGGAATGCAGGAATAGAGCTTTGAGGAAATAGATTAGAAGCAGGACTGGGTTTTTGTAGGCTGACTGAGGCTGGGTGCAACAAATCTGTCCATGTCTGCAGTATGGGTTGAACAAAGCTGACCTTACACAAAGCCTGTCTGACCAAAGACTGCACAGCGTTTATACAATCCCTTAGTATCTGTGGTGAACATGCAGCATAATGCTCCAAGAAGCAATCCACATCATCCTCTAATAACCATACCAGGGATTCTACCTGGTCGGCACTAAATGGCGGCAAAAATTCATCCCTGCATTTGGGGGTACCAGATGAAACCAACTCCGCACAAATCTGAATCAATGGCTGCACCTCAGAGAATTCTGTGCCCTGATCTACTAGAACATGAGCGAGCCGTATACATTCTAGCAGTTCATCCCGGGTATACTCCTTCAGAGTTTGATAAGCATACTCTCTGTCATCAAACACTAGCAGATATAAATACACAACCTCATCAAGATCCATCCTTCCCATCAACAAACCAAGATGGCTTCCCTGTGCAGCCACTTCTGGTCAGGATTGGCCTTGGTGTAATGTCAGGGCTCCCGGGTATGACCAGAGGTGTGTGACTGACGCAGGGAAACGCAGACTTCAGATATGTTATAAACAATATAATTTATTGACACTAACAATACAAACATAAGCGCAGTGCAATACTAAAACATAACACAGTGCAAACAAACCAAACCAACCACCCACAGATAACAGTACATACAGTGCAAGCGTTGTCAGGCAGGCCGGGTCAATATCAATCGGGCAGGTAGGTACAGGGGGAGCAAGCGGAGAATGGTCGGGGTCACAAGCCAGGTTCAGCAGGTAGCGGGCAGCGTGGTACAGAGGGTCAGGCAGAGGGATGGTCAGGAACGAGCCGGGGTCAGAGCAGGAGAAGTCAGCAGAGGTCAGATCAGGCAGGGTCAGCAACAAGACAGGAACAGGAACAGGATGCAGGAACAGGATACAGGGCCCAGGAAAAAACACACACCAAGGCAGAGTCTGCAGGTCTGGCCATCCCTTAAATACACCAGTATAAGCAGTTTCAGGTGTTTAGCTGGCTGCAAGGTTGAGTCTCTGATTGCTGGGAGCACCCGCTGGCCAGCCCTGGTACTGCAGCCCATAAGGCAGGGGAGTCCCACCATTGCTGGCCAGTCCATTCCTGACAGGCGGACTGACAACTCATGGGGCCCCCGGGCAATAGGGGATCATGGGGCCCCTGTGTCCTTGCCCAAACTCAAAAAAACCTATGAAAAAGGTACCAGGGGCATCTCATGGGGCCCCCTTCCTGACCCCGGGCCCTCGGGCAGTGCCCAAGTTTCCAAATGGTCAGTCCGCCCCTGGATGGAACAGTTACATTCCCTGCACATGCAGGGAATTTAACTTTTTTAAACTGTTAAATCAATGGGTTTAGTTGCATTTTAAGATCTGTTGGTTTAAAATGAGTCTTATTAGATCAGGATTTGTAAGTGATATACCCCAAGTTTCAGTTTTGTCGCTACTACCTTTTTACACCCTATAGCTGAACTACTGCTACAGGGTGGCAGGGCTGTGCAAAATCACGTATGTATATGTGATTTTGCATTTTTGAGTAAGGGGTGCGTGCGCGCCACCCTACCCGCGATGCTGTTGGCAGCTACAGCTGTTGATCACTGGGTCCTGGCCGGAGACTCCCCTCCAGCACCCAGCAATCACTGAGGAACAGTAAAAGGGGAGAGGTCTGTGTGTTAACAACATAGATCTCTCCCCTGTCAGCACAAACAGGCTGCTTTGTAAATACAAAGCAGCTTGTTGCCCTAGTAAAACACGCACAGCACACTTAGTAAAACAGCACACAGTTAACCCTTTGATCTCCCCAGATGTTAATCCCAGTGCTTTAGTACTATCAGTGCTTTCTATTAGCCCTGATCACTGTATTAGTGTCACTGGCAGTTAGTCAGTTCCTCCTCAGTGTCAGAATGCCCACTGCAGTCCCGCAGTCCTGCTATAAGTCGCTGATCACTGCCATTACTAGTATAAAATTTTTTTTTTAAATTCCATTATATATACCACCCTTTGTAGATGCCATAAGTTTCACGTAAACCAATTAATTTACATGTATTGGGATTTTTTTTAAGCAAAGACATGTAGCAGAATACATTTTGGCCTAAATTTATGATGAAATTTGATTTTTTTCAATTTTTTTATTGGATATATTTTATAGCAAAAAGTCAAAAATATTGGGTTTTTTTTTTCAAAATTGTGGGTCTTTTTTTGATTATAGCAAAAAAAATAAAAAATGCAGAGGTGATTAAATACCACCGAAAGAAAGCTTTATTTGGGGGGAAAAAGGACATAAATTTCATTTGGGTGCAGTGTTGCATGACCGCGTTATTGTCAGTTAAATTAACACAGCCCCTATCGCAAAAAATGGCCTGGTCAGGAAGGGGGGTAAATCCTCAAGAGGGCAAGTGGTTAAAACATGAAATAAAGGGTGGCTATGGGTGTAATATATTTGGCATCTGGAAAAGTGTTTGATATGCACTACATACAATGTGTAAAATAAAATAATTTTGATGCTAATGGTATGAACATGGCCCATGGATAACAAATGTTCACTAGGCCCTGCATTGTCTAATGCAGATCAATGCACCTTGTGTGAATGAGCCCAATAAGAAGAATGACCAACCCCCTCCCGCTATAGAACACATATAGAATGTATAAGTAAAGACTATTTATATATGTTTTATAACTGAAATGTAGAAAAACAGTATTTTCCAAAATATTTGTTTTTTTTTCCTTTATAGGGTTTATGCACATGACTGTAAGGGGGTTATACAGCATCCAGAACCTGCAAATACACTTTCTCAGGACCCACTGCTGCTGCGCACAGCCGCAAATAGTCATCAATTTTCTAATGCAGCTGTACAGGGGTATGCATAAGGTGTTGAGTAAAGCACTATCTGCATTTGCGGCATACAACCATTGCACATGTTGGAACTTTACACAACTCCCTGCAAATAGCCGCATACAGCTTCATCATCTAATATCTAAAGATGGCTTTAAGTGGCAGATGCAGATTCCCAGTGAACTGTTTTAGCAGGCCCTGGATGCTGTACAGCCACCTTATGCTTGTATGTAAATACTAAAATATCCTAGTGGTTATTAACCACCCCACCCCAAGCTGCCCATTGTACTAGAAAGCCGCTGTGGAGAGCAGTTATTCTAAGGGGATGTTTAACAATGTCTTTGTGCTTGTTGGTGTTTATGCTCAGCATGTGCACAATACCTATAATGTCAGCAGAAATCATAGACTAAAGGCACTGAGCCAAACAGAAATGGCCATCAAAGCAATCACAAATAAAAACTACTGTTTACAATTGACACCCCACCCCTTTCTTTGACAACAGAGGGAGGGAAGAAAGGGGTTGGCTTCCAAGTGTTACAGGTCGCCATTCCTACTACTGACACAAAGGGCACCATTCCTCTCACTGTAACAGAGGACCCATTGCTCAAAGGGCACCATTCTTTCAACTCTCATTCTTTTTGTTTCTTCATTAATCCCTTCACTTTCTAGACCTAGTCCACATTCAACAAATTGATCTGACCCTTAAGTTAATAGAAAGCATAACATGCTTTTTAATTATTCATGTGCCATTTGTATATCCTTTTCTGTACCAAATTTCCACTTCTGCTTTTCCTCCGATCACTACAAATTCTGTCCTGTCTTCTCTCATGAAATAAAAGCTCTTGTGGTGTAAGTATTCCAAATCATATTAAGATTCAGTATAATATTCAATGAATTCCAAATGTCTGTTTAACTATTAGGTGATTTAAATTAGAAAGGTAGAACAGAAAAAATTATTTTGAGACCTATGAAGTGGGTTTTTTCTTAAAGAGCCTCCAATATTGCAGCCAAGAGGACCTTGATTTGATTCTTTCCCAGGACCCCAATTTGCCTAAAAAAGGCACTGTTCAAAGTATACTTGCATATTTTTCCACACTTACTTTAGGCTGTACTTCAGCAGTGACTGGTTTCCACCACTGTTAACTCCTTCTCTGCTGCGTCTGGGTCCAGCAATGCTCCTTTTAACCACTGGGCAGTTACTGGTAATGTAACTCCTTCATACATGCAATGGGTTATGTCAATCACTAGGGTCTATTCTTGGCACCTTACGAATGAGTTGGGACCGTAGGATGTAAACTTTGCATGTCTCTTTTGCCAGCAAACTATGTATGTGTAAACCGTACAATGAACTGTTTTGTATTTGTTGTCTTTTGTTTTATTAAATATACCATTGAAAGTGTTTAGTTGTATCTGCTGAACAAGTGGAAAAAAATGCCTGCTCGTCCTAGTAAAATTTGAGTGAGCTCATAAATTCCTGTGCTCTCTGCCTCTGCTGACTTTTATCAGTTAATAGTGTGGACTACAGAACATACCTCCTCCCCTAAAATGACAAATACTGCTCCGCCATAGATAACGTACTGTACAGTAACTAAGCGTTGTCACCCTAGGACAGGAAGTGGTAGGATCACTAGGTGGAAGGAGAGGAGAAATAGTCCTAAAAGTTCCTGCTATATATTACATTTTGATCTTGGGTTTAGATACACTTTATTTAACTCGTAGCCCCAATAGTTCACCACTATGTATCAATTGATCTACCTTATAGATGATATGATGAAGTTATTTTTATACATTATACTTATGACCTGAGTTTAAAAAATGAACAATGCTGTAAATAATTTAGACTTGTAAATGTAAATGTTTTTACCTTGAATCATTGTTAGGTTTTTCAACGTGACAGAATGTTCCCAGTCTTTTAACTGAAGATCATTGGTGATCTGATTCAGTGTTTTCACTTCCTCTTTCATTTCTTGTTGCATTGTCATAAACCGCAGTTTTACAATGTTGATATCTGATGATGCATTCTGAAAGTACGTATACTGTTGACCAATTTCCTTTAGGAAAAATTGATAAAGGAATTTTAAGTTATTTTTAAAGTTGTTTTGTTTTGTTTTTTCTCCTGGTGACACAAGTTTTACCCATTTCTCAACCATATTTTTAAAGGAACAACAAGTCAGTGAAAATCCTCCCAACACTGCACTAATCTACTCTCACATTTAAAAGAAAACATTTTGGCTGAAGTTGGACTTTAACCACTTCACTTCGGAAGGTTTTACCCTCTTCATGACCAAGGCATTTTTTGCTATTCAGCACTGTGCTTTTTTAAGGCCCCTTTCACACTGGGTGGACTCTACCTGCAATCTGATTTCTCATCAGGGGAACCATCTGCTGGAATTCATGCAGCTATGATGCTATACTGGTAATGACAGTGATCAGCAATTTATAGTGGGACTGTGAGAGTGTGGAGGGCAATTTGGCACTAGCTGATGCTAGTTGGGAGGTACTGTACACTAACTAACACTGACATCAATAGTGACACTAATCCAGTGATCAGTGCTAATATTGTACACGGTCATTGTACTAATGACACTGGATGGGAAGGGGTTAACAATTATGTGTATTGTGAGTAATATATGCTGCTTTTACTAATAGATGTGGCTGCTGTTTCTCTTTTCTTTGCAGGGAGAAGACACAGTCACGTCACTGCTCTGTGTGAAGAGCCCTTTGTTGTTTGCAAACATACGGCTCTGTGCTGTGATTGGACACAGCCAATCATCAAGTCCTAGCCATAAATTATTGGCTGGGATCTGCTGACAAAATTGCATTGTGTTCAACTGCAGTGTGGGTCAGTAGCAGATGCGTGCCCCAGACCTGGAAGCAGGCTTGCAATGTTTCCCTATGTTGCTGAGTAAGCAGTTGCTGCCCTATCACAGTAAACCAACTGTGATGGGGCGGCAAGTGGTTAATATAACAAAATAATGTTAATTGTACTATATATATCTTTATATACTGTAGATGGGATTTCTGAACAAATATGGATCATATCTAAAACTGACATTAAGATACTTGCATTGCTTTTCAAATAATGAGCAAAATAACCTGTCATGAGCCACTATACATATACTATACAAAGATGCTGCATAGATAGGCCGCAAAATATCTTAAACATCACACCAATGGAATTTGATTAACTAATTTTAGGTATATCATCAGCTGGATAAATGGGAACCTTCACAGTCCTCTAGCTGTGCATTCCATACTATAGATCCCATATTCATTGATTATGGTGCCCAGCCATGCTTACAGAATCTTTAGACCATGCATGCTGGAAGTAATTAGGGGTGTGACTACCAGACATAGCCATGTCACCCCAGTTCACTTACAAAAACAAGCTACATTTTGGGAAAAAAGCTTATGAACCTGAAGGATTTTTGGAGAGGTATAAAATACAGTAGAGCTGCATATGCAAATGAGAACATAAAAATTACTAAATATTTTTGACGGTAACTATGTCACAGAAATCTGGTATTATATCTTAACCTCTTCAATGCCGGGCACTTATACCCCCTTCCTGCCCAGGCCAATTTTCAGCTTTCAGCGCTGTTGTGCTTTGAATGACAATTGCGCGGTCATGCAACACTGTACCCATATGATATTTTTAGCATTTTTTTTCACACAAATAGAGCTTTCTTTTGGTGGTATTTAATCACCACTGAGTTTTTAAATTTTTTGCTAAGCAAAACAAAAAACATCTGAATCTTTTGAAAAAAGATGCACTTTCTTCGTATATAAAATTTTGCAAATAAATAACATTTCTTCATAAATTTAGGTCAAAATGTATTCTGCTACATTTCTTTGGTGAAAATAATAATAATAGTTGAATTTGTATTTTTTTTTCAAATGTTTCTATTATTTTTTTAATTTTTTATTACGTTTTCGTTTTTTTACTATTTTATTTCTCAGCACACTGTGACCAAAGCAATACAATGTTACCATATTAACATTGAACTACTCTGGGCAAGTGATCAGGATTTTTTTTTTAACACATTATGATTACTAATACCAATGTATTTCATTGATATTTGCAGTCATTGTTACTGAATGAAACTGATTCATTCAGTCTTTTGTTGTGATTAGCTATGATTTGGCAAAGCTGATCACATGATATAGTTGAACTGTGATTGGCCCTGTCAATATCATATGACTGCCTTGACCAGTCACAGCTAACAACATAATTGTATACAATGGATGGCATGACAGGAATCCATTGTAGTTGACATGTGATCTGCTGTGCTTGGTCACAGCAGTCACATGACACTGGCAATGGGCCAGTATAGTGACATGTCATCAGCTGTGTCCCGTGGACATAGCCGGTGACAGATCGTGCTGCTGTGCGGCCCCGCGGCCATGTGAGTGGTTGGTTTTGACAGGACATCATAGGATGCCCAGTCACAACAGCGAATGTCCCGCCCGGCCGTCAATCTTCTATAGGCAAGGCGGGAAGGTGTAAATGTGCAAATACATGCTATAGTAATTTAAGCATGTATTAAAAAATTAGATATCAATCCAGCTGTCTGAAGGTCATATCAATATATTTTCCTAAAAGTATTTTTTAAATATTGCTGTTGTAATAGAGCATTGTACTGTGGTAGCTTCAAACAAGCTTCAACAAAAAGGGATCTAACTTATCCGAAAGCTTGCCGCTTTAAAAACTTAAGTAACCCAATAAAGGGAAACTTCAGCTCAAAACATTTCTGCAAACATTGCAGTTTAAACACAGATTCACCAGTTACACTCCTTATTACAGCTATCAGGTTGGCTGTGGCTGATGGTGAAACCTGGCATTGTGGTTCTTCCTTGTTAATATAATACATTGGAAATACATGCTTTACTTTCAAGGACCACTAATTCTAAAATATAAAGTTCAATTTTGTGTCAGACCTGCAATTAACATTTACAATTGTGCAGGTAAAAGCATCCATGAATATTAATAAAGTTGAATTGTGAAATCACCCATAAATGTTCATAAAATTGGATTTTTGACATTTACAGATAAATTAAGCCATGTTTAAGCAAATTAAGCTTCTGTATGTTTTAAGCAGATTAAGGGTTGGTCATTATATACAGCAATATGGTTGTCTTTGAAAATGTTTCTTCCCACTATACAAAAATCATGTTGAAGAACTCAAAGATGTTGGAAGTAAGTGTAATGAGCAACTTTTAACAAAATTCACTTGATTCTTTCTCCAGGAATCCCTGGGTGAAATTGTGTTTGTTGCTCATTATTATTTCAAGATATATATTCTGCCTCAAGTGGTTATATTTATAACAATCAGACAGTGAGCCTAGTAACATGGCCAGTTCTAACAAGCCAATGTTCTGATGAATTGGGGTAAGGTTGGAGCTTATCATTGATCCCAACCCCCAGAATCATTCTACTGGCTCAACACTATGATGTGTAGCCTTGCTGGTCATTAGGCATGTACAGAAGGTAGGTAGGGGAAGTCAAGCTTTGCCTGTCAAAATATGCTGGTATTTGGCCATGACAGAAAGAGTTGGGAGGCTGCTGAAGGTATGTGTTTGTACCTTTAGGTAACTGCATATTATAACATTAGCAGTTTTTCATTTAATCACTTGCCATCCCACTCACAATACTTTTACTGCAGGCGGGCAGCATGTGCAGGCACTGAGATGTATCTGTATGCCATGGTGCACATGTGCACTAGCAGGCCCCTTGAGCATGTGGCAGTGCAGACCTGTAAGACTGTGATACAGTGGCTCATGGTGCTCAACGCATCAGCCACTCTGAGTGGCTGGGGTATCATGTAATCGGTATGACCAATCATAGTAATCACATGATAACAATGTAAACAAACTGTCATAAATGGATTTTATTCATGATCAGCTTGCTTACTATTGTTGTGCTGTGATTGACCCACGCTATCACATGGTACAAGGCAATTCACAGCAGCCTTGTACCATGTGATAATTAATAGTAAGCAAGCTGTCATGAATGAAAGTCATTCATGACAGTTAAAAGGGTTGCATATAGCAGTGTATTTCACAGCTATGGGAATCACAGTGTTAAAAAACAATTCCCTGATCACCCCCCAGAGTAGTACAGTGTCACTATGGTGATACTGAACTTTGATGAAAGTATTTAAAAAACAAATAGTAGAAAAGAGTCCCTGTCACCAGTCAGTATCCCTAATCCCCACCACACCATTCATACTTCAAAAAAAACCCCATGCCCCTTACTAAATACCTTGATCTGTCTACTTTCCAAAAAGATGTCATTTGGGGGGTATTTGTATGGTCCTGGCTTATTATGGCCTCAAGAAATGATAGAATGATAGAAGACAATAAGTACATCAGGACTGATCAATTTTCAAATATATATACCATAGATTATAAACACTATAACTTTTGCACAGACTAAATAATATACACTAATTTGAGTTATTTTTATCAAAGATATGTTGCATTTTGGCCCAAATTTATGAAGAAATATTATTTGTTTGCAAAATTTTTAAACAGAAAATAAGAAAAATTAGTTTTTTTTTTCCAAAATTATATTTTTCCCTATTTTCTGTTTATATGGCAAAAAAAATAAAAACCTAGTGGTGATTAAATGCCACCAAAAGAAAGCTCTAATTGTGTGAAAAAAAATTATACACATTTAATTTAGGTACAGTGTTGCATGACAGAGAAATTGGCAGTTAAAGTAGCACAGTGCTGAATAGCCAAAAAATTGACTGCTCATGAAGGTGGTAAAACCTTCTAGAGGTCAAGTGGTTAAATAAACAGAGTCTCTTGAAAAAGGAGACTCATTATGAGTTTTCCAAAATGAACTTTTTAATAATTCCTGGTAATTCACTCATGTATTCTTGATATATTCAATGTTTCTGTTTTTTTTTATTTGAAACTGGTCTTTAAATGGTCTTACCTCCTTCATTATATAAACCTTTTCAGAAAATGTTGTGTTTATATAATCCATTTTCATATTACTGTCATCCTGTGCAGTGGTTAAGTGTTCCAGTGTTTTTTGTATGTCCT